GGATAAGACATATGGATGAACAACGTCTTTATTTCAATTAGGAGCGATGTTTCGGTGTAGATTCTAACACCGTTATCAAGCAAGTGATGTGCAGAGTATGGTTGACAAGTATATAATACAGGATAGGAGTTTCTACAGTTGAGTAGGTTTAAGATGCAGTTACACTGGAGTGGAGAGGCCTGTTATGTACACAGAAGGGTAATATACATTTTGCCGGTGAAGCCTGTAATATAAACACAACGGTGAAGCCAGTAAATTGTAATAAAGAAGTTGTTCATCCATATATCTTATCCTTACTTAGTACGCCAACTTCTAAATGTATCTCAAAGAAGTTATAAAATTTGGTCCAGTAGTTCTTCAAATTTTTGACTATTTGTCAGTTGTTCAGGTTTTTTTCATTTAAACCCTGAAATGCATGACATTTGTTGGAAAGGAGGAGACATTTTTTTAGAAGGCTATTGGACTGATGGGTAACTGAAGAGAAAGTACATGCATTTGTATCTTTTTAAACAATTGCTTATGACATCATATTGGATCTATTAGTTCTTAAATGTCTCCATATGTTGTTACTTGTTCAGTTATATTTGTATTTAAAAACTAAAATGCAAGTCATTTATTTGAAAGTTTACCGCAATAATGACAGGGAGACACTGCCTACATGACGGTTCATCACAAGTGCAATGCGGCTTGACCTTGTCTCGGCCTGAATATGCTAATCCATTCATTTACTGTGTAAAGACATTGTTCATCAAATTCAGTACTTTTGGGGGTTCCCATGGTCCATATTGTTTGTTGATCAAATATTATGGGAAAATGATTTTTATTGCAAATTTAATAGGATGAACGAAGAGTTAGCCTCCATGTTGATGCAACATGTCAAAAGTTCTCTTGTGAAAATTTGTTATTATTAATGGGGGAGTTTTTCAAGCCGAGTGAATAGTTACTGAAATATGTTAATTGATCAGACGCAGGCAAAAGAGACACACTTAGCTGTCCATTTTCCTACTTTTCAGTACATTTTATGAAATTATATATTCATTAATTATACATATAAATGCATATCTTTCACTTCACTGATTATTTTTTTTTACAGTACTGATAATGCATTGTTATTTAATTGTAGAGTACCTCTGCAGTGATGGAAATCCAGTGAACTGGTCTGTTGACGGCATCAGGCCTACAGAGATAGCATTAACTGCATCAACTTTCACCTCTACCAACGAGACTGTTGATGACACCACTTTGCGAAATGAATGTGATCGAAACTGGTTCTGATGGATGGCGTTTGTCAACATTATGAGTTTGAGAATAACCAGAACTCGATTTAAGGGATTTGATAACTGAACGAGTAACTCATCGTTAAAAAGTACAAAACTTACCAACATATCGGAACCTTTAGTTACAAGACATCTTGCAATACAAAACCATATCTGATATTTCAAGAATTACCCACACCATACACACAATAAGTTCCGAGCTTGATTTAACTTGCACCAGGTGCACGGTGACATGAAAACCTAGCTGCACCAGACAAACCAGGATGTACCATGGTCCCACCCTGTCTTCATTCATTCATCTAAATAAATAAAATCTCAGCTCTCTGATGACTGTCATGACTTGTACACTGTACTGATTGTTACAGTACTGATTGTTACAGTACTTATTGCTACAGTATTTATTGTTACAGTACTTATTGCTACAGTATTTATTGTTACAGTACTGATTGCTACAGTACTGATTGTTACAGTACTGATTGTTACAGTACTTATTGTTACAGTACTGATTGTTACAGTACTTATTGTTACAGTACTTATTGTTACAGTACTGATTGTTACAGTACTGATTGTTACAGTACTAATTGTTACAGTACTGACAGTACTGATTGTTACAGTACTGATTGTTACAGTACTGACAGTACTGATTGTTACAGTACTGATTGTTACAGTACCTATTGCTACAGTGCTGATTGTTACAGTACTTATTGCTACAGTACTGATTGCTACAGTACTGATTGTTACAGTACTTATTGTTACAGTACTTATTGTTACAGTACTGATTGTTACAGTACTGATTGTTACAGTACTTATTGTTACAGTACTTATTGTTACAGTACTGATTGTTACAGTACTGATTGTTACAGTACTATTTGTTACAGTTATAATGTGGCAAATATCACAACATGATTCTGTGGTCAACTTCAGTGATCGATGAAGCTAATGTACAGAGCGTTACCTTGAAGTACCTAGTTTGATGATGTCAGAAGGCAATACACATTACACTGGGATCAGTGATGTAGTATGGTAATACGGTAATATCATGGCAAAGCATAGAGGTATTGATTGTGTTCAAAGATTGATGTTGTGTTCACAATAAAGGTTTAGTCAGTCACAAATTGGAAACATTTTGACATGCACTCAATGCATGTAGACAAAAAATATCAGGTTTCACTTTTCAATAGTGAGTGAGTATGGTTTTACGCCGCTTTTAGCAATATTCCAGCAATATCACGGCGGGAGACACCACAAATGGGCTTCACACATTGTACCCATGTCGGGAATCGAACCCGGGTCTCCGGCGTGACGAGCGAACGCTTTAACCACTAGGCTACCCGACCGACCCTTACTTTTCAATAACATGTTGCGCTTGTGCCTGTCTTGTCTATATCAAGCCCTGATAAACTTGGTGTCAACAGTGATGTAATATTTTCTCATATTTTGCTGAAGTTAGTTCAGATTATGGGACACATTTCCTGTTGTATGTTCAGAATCATGCTGTGCTGTGCTGTGCTGTGGAAGGTCTCCTCTCTTGCTTCAGTCTATGTGAGGGGAAACATTTGAGGAAAACTATGTCATGAAAAATATAATTATGCTTCAACCTGTTGAAAAGAAATGAATGAAAAATACATTAATGCATAGTGCTTTTTCCCAAAAAATATTCAGACACACAAAAAAATACATGAAATAGATTAGAATAAAAAAATATCTGGTTTGCAACTGAAGCTGAAAATACATCCAGTCCCCACACAAAATCCCAGCCCCCCAGGATATCAAATGCTTGATTCCTTATGACAAGAAAAGGTTGCTAGGCACCTAACTGGAGGTATGTTTCCAGCAAATATTTTACAACTACTGAACTACCAAACGACTATCTATACACGCACGCACGCACGCACGCACGCACGCACACACACACACACACACACACACACACACACACACACACACACACACACACACACACACACACACACACACACACACACACACACACACACACACACAGAAATGATGTATTGGATGATGGTTATGGTGTCACATGGCAGTGTATTGTATTGGGTAACAGTGATTGTGGCTGTGTTGGGACTTGGAAGACGCTCATTGCATAGTGTTTGGACAGTCATCAGTCATCAGGAAGATTCTATATTTAGATGCTAGTGTGGTGGGTAAACTTCTGGACCATGATAGTATGTTGTAGAAACTTACTGTAATTTCTGTAATGTTCTATGTTATGAGAGCACTGTTTGGTACTTTCCAGTGGTTTTGCAATGGAGGTTTGTTCACAAAACAAGTCATGACTATCTCCCCTCTTGGTATACTTAAAACCTTATCTCAAGTACTGCTATGGTCACTGTTGTTCTCGACACAGTAATTGTGCCCTTTGTTTCATTTCATACTGCTTTCCCTGAGGTGCAACCTTCCTTGCATATAGTGTGTGTACAGCTTTGTGAATTACACACTTAGAAAAGGAGTCAACTTTCTTCTTCCACCCTGTTTTTTATATTGATGAGAGGGTCCTTGAATCTACAGTACTGTTCTGTATGTTGACAATATTAAACACAGCAGTATAAACCATTCCTAAAGTCTTTGCTGTTCTCTCATATACTCGAGAAGAGTGTTTAACACAATTTGATTAATAATGGATCATGCCCCCATAATTGGTCAAACATTCATTTATATGGCGTGACATTGTCCAAAACAATCTTCCAATGACAGTTTGAGGGAGTCTTGTCTGCTCTTCTTGCAGTGCCTGGCCCAGTTTCGAAGTACTGTCCAGTGACCATACCATGGACAATCTACAGTGACGTTCGGCAATTAAAGACATATTTCACTACAGACCCCACCTCAATTCTGTCAAATCTGTCATGTTGTTTTACACTGATGTTTACATGACATAAGTGTGTATCCAGAAAGCCCAAATTTAATCTGCACTCACCTGAAAACATTATGTTTGTTTGTTTGTTTGTTTGTTTAATGCAACACTCAGCAATATTCCAGCTATATGACAGCGGTCTGTAAATAATGGAGTCTGGATAGATAGATATGGGTTTGAAGACAAATAAGGTCGTGTTAGATAACTTCAAGAAAGCCTTTAGTATCTCTAGAACTAATATTTAATTATTTGTACAGTATATCTGCTATACCTCGACCAGCGCGAGCTCAGGCATAGTTAATGTCGTGTAACACTTTACAATATATATATATATAGACCGGTGAAGATTCGGGGTAGAATAGGTCTTCAGCAACCTCCTATGCTTGCCGTAAAAGACGACTTTGCTTGACAAACGGAATTGGGTGTTCAGGCTCGCTGACTTGGTTCATGCATGTCATCGATCCCAATTGCGTGGATAGATGCTCATGATATTAATCACTGGATTGTCTGGCCCATACTCGATTATTTACCGACCGCCCTCATATTGGTGTAATATTACTGAGTGCGGCGTTAAACAACAAACAAACCAAACTTTACAATATAACGGCACATAAGAATGTTTACGGGTGAAATGAAATTGTTTTACATATTGCATCACTGTTTAGTTGACAAGCTGTTGAGAAGTGTACATGTGGTGTCATCTAACAGCCGATGTCTCTCCCCAAGAGGACGTTCGAGGCTGTTAACGTAGCCTGTGAATAAAGACGTGCATTGTCGTGTCTGCTGCACTGTCAATATAGTCTGTCAGCATCTAAACTTGGGCTTGACACTTCTCTAAAACACGCACTTACCTGGACGACTATGCTGTGCTGGTATCTGTAGCGTGACTCAGGCTTGTGATCGCGCTGTATACGAGCTTGAATGAGCGCTTCTCTCTCGCCACCAGCTTATATCGGAGAGCCCAACCATTTTCCGAAATAGACTCGCCCGTATTGATGTTTTTCCCCAGACCCAGTGTTCTCGCCATTTTTCTGTGTAGGGGGAACAGCTTCTGTCGGCGAAACTTCCGCAAGGCTCCAGATGTGTGGGCATGTACGTAGTTCACGTGGACAATCGAGCGCTATTGGTTCAGCAAAACAAAAAAATAACTAAACGCTTATGTTGCGGATATTGGGTGACTGTGTGTGTTTCTATGCTTGTAAAGTACATTTCTTCACTGCAGTGTTCGCATTAAAATTACCTTATGTTAATTTCATCTCTTTCAAATTGGTATTTTTTTTTATGAAGTATACTTAAAACTGGTATATATATATAGTATATGATATACTAGAATATATATGCTTGACGGATGAGGGGCCGTATTCATAAACTTTCTCAGAATTTTCTTATGAATGCAAATGGCCAGGATTTAATTAAGAAATGAATTTCACATTGTGAATTGTGTTGCTGGAGTAGAAACGCTTTGACCCACGCAAGTTAATATCCATTTGTGACAAACTCGTATTATTCCGGGACAAGTCGAATCGCAGGTTACGTAAAGGGGCGAGTGGTGACGAATGGAATGCTAAATATCGTGAAAACGCCGGAGCTTGCGAGACGTACTACGTCATTGAGCACTTCAGCATGCAATTATCATATGCTCGGCTGGACAAGCCGATAAAAATTGGAATGTTTTACAAATTGCCGCGCCACTTGGCGTTCTTTATCGTCAACGATCTCATTGAGCAGTTTAATGCCTTTTTGTGCACTGACGTTCTTTAGTACACTTAAAAAATTAGTTATTTCTTTACATATGACGTCTTTTGTTTGCCTAGCTGTTCATAGGCATCGTTTTGTATTTTGAATTCATTGCTTGTAGATTCTATGTCAATGTATAATTACCTTCATTTGTATCATTCATTATATATATTCGTAACATTTGACTATTATTGCGTACTTTTATCCTCTATTTCAATTTTGTATTTTTTTGACCGGATGGCCGCCCATACAAAAGATGAAGTTTATACTTTGTAGAAGTCACTTTTTGAAGTTTGTTGAAAAATAAACGGGTCATGTGATCAGCAAATAAATAAATCAAATCGTTTGAAATCCCTTAAACTTCAAAATAAGAATTTATGTAACATTAAAGTGACCTGTCGTCATAATGCTCATAGGAAATGCCATTTTTCAAATATCTCCACTGGGGTCGAATCAAACCTTGGCGCCATTCAGGTATTAGAAAAATACTTGCTTCAAAGTCAAATATAAAGAATTACTATCTGCGAATGCTGCGTCGTTTAGTTCATCGGATTATCCATTCAAAGGCCCTTGAAAGCCGTTCCTATAGCCACGCTTGTCTTAAAAGGTGACTATGCTTGTCATAAGAGGCGACTAGCGGGATCGGGTGGTCATGCAGACTCGATGACGTTGTTGATTGCACGTCAGTGTATACCAACTGCGTGGATCGATGCTAATGTCTATCACTGGATTGTCTGGTCCAGACCCGATTATTTTCAGACCGGCGCCATTTAGCTGGAATATTGCTGAGTGTTAAACAACAAACAAAAAAACAAAACAAACATTCCTAAAGCCATGGCAGCCTCACAGTCGATAGAGTTTACATTGGAACATGCTGTGGTGGCCACTGTCCTTACATTTCAGTCTCTTCTCATGTTTGTTTTCCGGGTACGTTTTCCCATCAAAACATGCGTGACAGTTATCAACAGGTACTGTTGTTTTAGAAATAACAAATATAGGAGATGTGGCCCAGCTTACAAAGTGTATCACCCATTACAAGATAAAGGCACCGTGAGTATCGCCAGGTTCCAAATAGTAGGCTGTATTTGTCCTGGACTATGTGTTGACATCCCAGGCTTAACATCACAGATGTTTCTCGGTTAGGCATTAGCGTTATCTTCCACCCGTGCGACCTGGTGTGTTTGAAGGAGGCCAGTATTTAAAGGGACGGTTTGTGCATATGTTCTCCTCAATCGTCATGGCTACCCGTTTCCAGTTATCACTTAAACCTATTGTGACACTGCCAACTATTTCAGTTTATCCTCCATCTGTAACAATATAAACATCCGTGATGATCATTTGTTTAAGAGAATTTCGGTACGAACAAAGTGCATAGGGGATATTGTTAACATGGGAAAACTGAGTTTTAGAAATATTTCATGACGATTCCTGCGATATAGTGAGAAAGTATATAAAAGGTGAAAAAAGGGACATTAACAAACTAAGGGACCACGATCCAGTATCTTTAACATGCTAAGGGTCAAATAAATGATAACATAATTCGGATGAGGGTCAGTATCTCTTGGTATGCTGGTCAGATATAATTAAGACGTCAACACCTTTATCTGTATTTACGACTATGTCCACCATCTAAACACAGCTCATCAGCTGACGAAACGTAACACGTGTACATAGTTATCGTTAATGCCCCCAATGGAGTATTTCGGCACTGCCGCTACACCTAGATCCATATCCGGAAGATTAAAGAATGAGGTAGATCTTACACAGTTATAATTTACTACATTAAATCTTAACCCACAAGTAAATGTAGTTATTTGAATATGCCTAGCTTTGTGTATATTGTAGATGATCTCTTTGTAATACTGCTGTGAATAGATTATGTCAATCCTGTGTAAATACATTGTTATGTTTAAGTTGACATTATGCGTAATGATTAACAGCCTGTATCTTGCGTGAATGCCTACCCGAGTAATGGCAGATAGAGTGTGTCGGGTATATTGTATCTTGTGTGCATGTCTACTCGGATAGTGTATTTAGATAGAGTGTGTCGAAGGTATTGTATCTTGTGTGCATGTCTACCCGAGTAATGGCAGATAGAGTGTCGGGTATATTGTATCTTGTGTGCATGTCTACTCGGATAGTGTATTTAGATAGAGTGTGTCGAAGGTATTGTATCTTGTGTGCATGTCTACTCGGATAGTGTATTTAGATAGAGTGTGTCGGGTATATTGTATCTTGTGTGCATGTCTACTCGGATAGTGTATTTAGATAGAGTGTGTCGAAGGTATTGTATCTTGTGTGCATGTCTACTCGGATAGTGTATTTAGATAGAGTGTGTCGGGTATATTGTATCTTGTGTGCATGTCTACTCGGATAGTGTATTTCGATAGAGTGTGTCGAAGGTATTGTTTCTTGTGTGCATGTCTACTCGGATAGTGTATTTCGATCGAGTATGTCGAAGGTATTGTTTCTTGTGTGCATGTCTACTCGGATAGTGTATTAAAAAAAAAAATAGAGTGTGTCGAAGGTATTGTATCATGTGTGCATGTCTACTCGGATAGTGTATTTAGATAGAGCGTGTCGAAGGTATTGTATCTTGAGTGCATGTCTACTCGCATAGTGTATTAAGATAGAGTGTGTCGAAGGCATTGTTTCTTGTGTGCATGCCTACTCGAATAGAGTATTTAGATAGAGTGTGTCGAAGGTATTGTATCATGTGTGCATGTCTACTCGGATAGTGTATTTAGATAGAGTGTGTCGAAGGTATTGTATCTTGAGTGCATGTCTACTCGCATAGTGTATTAAGATAGAGTGTGTCGAAGGCATTGTTTCTTGTGTGCATGCCTACTCGAATAGAGTATTTAGATAGAGTGTGTCGAAGGTATTGTATCATGTGTACATGTCTACTCGGATAGTGTATTTAGATAGAGTGTGTCGAAGGTATTGTATCTTGTGTGCATGTCTACTCGCATAGAGTATTAAGATAGAGTGTGTCGAAGGTATTGTATCTTGTGTGCATGTCTACTCGCATAGTGTGTTAAGATAGAGTGTGTCGAAGGTATTGTATCTTGTGTGCATGTCTACTCGCATAGTGTATTAAATTAGAGTGATAAGGTGTTGTACTTTCCAATCATATCTCATTTGTATCTGTAAAATAGTCCGGCTATCTATAATTCATATCATTTTGATTGCACGTGCTCCGTACATATGTATAATCAATAACTGGCTGCACTCATTAATGACTCAAAGACTGACAAAAACACACCTGTGTTTTAACTTAGGTCTGGTGGTATTATGTTTGAGCCGGTGCGGGTGGCACAGATGCACGTTTCATCAATACATCGCTTGTCTATTATAGATAATTGTCACTATCACATCAACATATTAGCGGTGTATTTACATATATAGATGCTGTAGTCTCGGGTTTGTAAGCAGTACATTAACATAACGCATTTAATCCATGTATCATCTGGGCTAAAGATTAGTTTCGATAGCTGCTAGTTCCTCCTTGCAATGTCAATCATAGTCTCCTAAATTAACCCGAGATTTCGATGATCAGTTTCACTTTTGTGAATATGTTGAATTCCTTTTACAGAATCTGTTGAATGTGTTTGACAAATATGTTTTCATGTTGAAAATATTTTAATATTAAAATTTCATCACAATGTTATGCTATGTTATTCTATTTCTCTGTGTTGGGTGTGTAAAAATATATGTTATATTTTTCTCTTTTGAGGATTGATAACCCTTTTAAGTAAAACCACATACCGCTTAATATCACCACAAACCTCCTTCTTATTAACATACAGTTAAGTTAAATAATATTGGTTTGAAATATTGACATCTGAATTTAACTATCTGTTTGTTGTGCTGTGTACACTACCCACATTGTTCTGTCAGACGGTTCACCTGCCTCCAAAGTTATCAGTTGTTGCTCACTGTGCCGGGTACAACTATAGTTAGTGATGTGATGTTACCACTTATGTGATATAGGTTTTGTTATAAGAACGAGAATTTATGGATCGCAACTTCTTTATTATAGGGAACAAAAAGTTTCGGAGTATATACTCACTCCTTCATCAGGTGAATGCATTCCGAAGTTGACATCCATAACTTCTCTTTCTTATGCATCACTTCTCAGGGACATTCAAGGAATTCATGTTTTCTTATGATGACAATTAACTGGAAATCAAACATCTAATACATCTACACAGCAAGATCCAGTCCTGATACATGGCAATAGAGTTGAGAGAA